TCTGCCGTCGAGTAGTAGTAGCGAGTCTTTGTCTACCACTCCTGCTCGTATCGTGTTATTTAACACCGTGTTACTTGGATGTCCTGTGCGTGCGTGCCAGATGTCTTCGGAGGCGCGGTGTCCGGGTGAACGTTGATATGCGTCGGAGTTGGAGTAGAAGCTGGCGACGAAGTTGGCGCTACGGTGGACTTCTCGTTGAGTCGGGTTCAGCTGTTGTGCGGGTGTTGGTGGTGTTTCGTCGACGATGACTGGTGTCGTTGTTCCTACTGCTGCTGATGTTGTTGCTGCTGCCGATGTTGTCTCTGCTGCTGCCGATGTTGTCTCTGCTGCTGCCGATGTTGTTTCTACTGCTGCCGATGTTGTTTCTGCTGCTGCCGATTGTTGAATTGTTGCTAATGCTCGTGTTCGCTCTGCTTCAGGGATGGTGTGTGAGTACCAGAAGCCTCCTGGACTGAAATCAGGATCGATGTTCGGAGGGTGTGTCCAGTCGGTAAAGTTGACGATGGCGTCGCTGTCTGCAGTGCCCAGGTCGGGGACGAAGTCAAGAACGAAGACGTTATTCTTCAACACTGCTTTCCCGATGTAGAGGCCGCCCCTCCCGTGGTATAACTCAAATTCCTGGGTGGTGCTGCCGGCTTCCAAGTGAATCCCCTTCGTCATCAGCTGGCTAACACTCAGTAAGTTGTAACCGAGTCCTTCTGCGATGAGTACTTTTGACATGTGTAGTATAACGTTGGTCTCTCTTGATTGAAGCTGAACGACTCCTTGTCGTCTTGTGCGCAGGTTCTGGTTGTTGGCGACCGTGATGACTACTTCTCGCTGGAGTCGATGTTCGCGTTGTACGAAGCACCCGGAGGAGCACATGTGTTGTCCGCAGCAACTATCCAAGAACCAAGTGTCTTGGCCGGACGGCTCGCTTTGAGCGATGGCGGCGTACGTCGGATTCGGTTGGAGTGATTCGCGGCGAGGCGTCCTGTTGTCGAGCTCCTCTTCTGGTGAGTAGTAGGGTGGCGACTTTGTAATGCAGGAATCGTTTATCTTTACCATGCAGTTGACGATGCTTCTTGCTCCTTGTGCAGGTTGTCCGGTTGAAGTCGTTGAAGCTTGGATCGTGGTTGTCGGACTTGCTTGCGTTGAAGCAACTTGGGAACTTGAAGGCCGCAGTTGTCGTTGTGGTGTCGTCTGACGAGACGGGCAATGCGTGCGAGGATGGCCCGAGGTTTTGCAGATGTGGCAGAACGGAGGTACCGTTTTCACTTGCTGTTGTCGATTGTTGTTGCCGTTGTGTCGTCGCTGAGTGTGAAAAGCAAATTGTGGTGCTAAAGCTTTCTTCTTGTGTCTTTCTTCTTACAGGTCCATGTCCTGCTGCTCAGCATGAATTTCGGCGCAGAGTGCCGCTTCGGAGATCCTCCCGTGTGCTCGGAGTATGGCGCGAGTGGAACGCCAGTGGGGGCCAAGACCGCAAATGACTACCGTGACAAAGGCGTCTTCGGAGATTGACCCGCCGCATCGAAGAAGCTTGTCGCGCAGTTCGCGGCAGCGGCTGATATAAGCCATGCCTTTCTCGCCTGGTTTCATTTCAATCGTTGTCAACTGCGCCATTAACCTGCTTTGGTTTACGCTGTCTGTTGCTTGATACAGGTTCTTCAGGTGGTTGTACGCGAGCTCCGCGGAGTTGCCGTAGCCTCGGTAAGTCCTGATGTTCTGCTGCTGGGTTGGGGTGATGTTCCTCAGCAGAATTGTGTACGCCATCATCGATTGATATGTATACTGCTGCTTCTCATATTGTGTCCCGTTTGTCGGATATGGCAGGGACCCGTCGAAGAAGCCAAGAATCTGTGCTCCTTCCATCATCAGTTCAAACTCGAACGACCAGGTAAAGAAATCTTTGCCGTCGAAGGGCTTTGTCGTTTGTAGTTTTAGGACGTGCGCGAATTGCGATTGGACTTGTAACGCGTCCAATGTCCTTTCTTGTCCCGATGCAGGTTGCGGTTGCGGCATGAAGCTGACGGAGCCACGTTGGGGCTCGTACGGCGCAAAGGTAGGCTGCTGTTGTTGTTGTTGCATCCCGCGTGCATAGGATGAGCCGTCGAGGCTCATCGGAGTAACATTGTTGTTGTTGTTGCTGTTGTTTGACTGCGCAGGCACTCCTTGCTGGTGTTGCTCGTAGAAGGACATGAAGGAGAAAAATTTCTCCATCATGTTTGAATCGAAGCCTGCTGGTGTTTCCGTGGACCCAGCAGCTGGTCTTGCGGTAGTGCCTTCCTCTGTCTGTAGGCCAGAGACAGGTGGTGGGGTAGGAGTAGTGCCTGGGGAGCCGTTGGAGGAGCTCCTCTCCTTCCTTGCAGACATGTCTTCTTTCTTTGTATTTAAGTATTGAGAGAGAAAATGACCTTAAGCTCTAACTGCTCTCATACCATGTTGGGCTGAGAAGCCCTAGGATCTTTGTAGAGTTTAAGGACTGAGTAGGATTGTAATAGCGGAAGCGTTGTAATACAGAGTGGTTGAACCACCTTGCACTAGTATGTGAGAGCAAAGTAAGTTGGATTAAACAAGCAAATACAAGGTTTATATATGAGTACAAGGAATACAAATAGATAGATTTGAACCGTTTTACTGTTGCGATTCGATACAGTGCGACTCGGGCAACTGCTCAATGTCGAGTCAGTTGTGTGTCCTTGCTGTCGCGCTGTATTGGTCAAGTCAAAGGTCGCTGACCTTTGACCTTCGCGTAACCTCCAGGCGGTTACCCAAACCTCCGAGGGTTGACTCGCGATGCTTCGATTTGGACTGCTTCGCTAGTGTCCTGAGTTTCGACAGGACAGAGGCGCCTTAAGACTTATTGTTCCCAACACTCACAACCCTGCTGCATCTGATGATGACAACACTCCTTGCAAGCAGCGGCCTGCTAAGCTTGGTCAAATGGGAGATCAGCAGAAGCAGGGGCAGCAGCAACAGAGGTAGTAGCAATAGGGGCAACACCAGCGGCAGCAGCAGCAGCAAGGGCAGAATCAGTCCGCTAGCAACAACATTCCTCGCAAGCAGCGGCTTGCTAGGCTTGGCCAAGCGGAAGATCAGCAGAAGCAGGGGCAGCAGCAACAGAGGTAGTAGCAATAGGGACAACACCAGCGGCAGCAGCAGCAGCAGCAAGGGCAGAATCAGTAGGGGAAGTTGCAGCAGTAGGGGAAGCAGCAGCAGTAGGGGAAGCAGCAGCAGTAGGGGAAGCAGTAGCAGTAGGGGAAGTAGGCAGCAGCAGGCCTCTTAGCAAAAGGATCCTGCATTGAATCTTAAGGCACATGGGAGGCTCAAACTCTGACGTACAAGTGCTATAATTGTGTGGCATCGATCTGTAAAAGTGAAGCAAAAGCAGGCCTATTTGAGTCGGGTTTTGTAAAGGAGTTTGTGTAGAGTGTACCCCTCACAAACCGTTACTTCGCGAAGGTGGCGAGAAAATGCTATCTTTCCTGGCGAAGACGTCACTTCAGGGCCAGCCCCTCTCAGGGGTCCACGTGCAAAAATTTCGTACCGCCCCTCCGCACGTCAATGAACCAATCACATCGCTCATGGCAATCCCCAAGATTCTGGTGCGCAGCGTAGTTGCTGTCGAAAACATCCTTCCCGCCCCGCACTTGCGGTTCTCTCCTCTCCCCCTTCCCCTTCGTGCTCCTCTCCCCCTTCCCCTTCACAAGGTGCGCAGACCAATTGTCCCAGGATAGTCATCGACGGCTTTCGGAAGCCCAGACCCCCTACGAAACGCATCGAAGCCTTCCGATTGTTGTCCGCTCTTCCCCCCGCTCTGCCCCTGCTTTCTCCCCTCATCCCTTCCCCCCATGCTCCGGCGGCATGCACGGCTTGGTGGTCTGGGCCTCTTCTTCTACCCCGCCCCACCTCACCTTACCCCACCTCACGAAACCGCATTTTATTCAGGAAATCTCACCCCATCCCACCACATCCCACATGTGAAAGTTCTAGTGAAGACAACAAAGTTGCTGTGCAGTACTGGGCTCGCGTTGTCAGGCACTCGTCGCGTCGCCTCCAATCGAGCATCCGTGAAGCGCCATTGGCTGTTGTTGGGGTGAAAGAAAATATATAAACTGCAGGTTATCTCTTGAGTCTGTATGCGACGGAATTCATTCCGCGCGGCGAAGCCCGTCGAGCCCGCGCTGTATGCCTCCATGGCCACGTCATCATCCACATTGTTTTCCACGTCAGCAGAAGCAGCGGACGTCGTGGCAGCACGGCTAGGGCGGCACGACAGCTCGATTGACGCGTCCGTTCCGTTAATCACGCCGCTAATCACGCCGTCTCCGCCAGATCCGCCGCGATTCCAGCCTTTCGAACTCGACGTGGATGCACCCGCGCCGTCCTCTCCGAATCGCGCTCACAGTGCCACGTGTCATCACGCCTCGCGAAGTGTTTGGCGATTCGTTCTTGCGAGATTTTTCTCTTACCTTCCGCGGCCCGTCCCTCTCCTCCTCTCGCCGTACCTCGAATACTCATGCTCTTGCTCCGCTACAAGCACTTCAAGAACTCGCGTTTCAGCCACATCTGTTACCAGAATTTTCGGCAGATCGGAACCTCATTCCATCACCAGTCAGTTTTCCTCCTTGATACCTCGTAGCTATTCCCATTCGCTACTAGATATCCGCCGCTATTCGCCACTTGGCCTTTGTCTATTGGTCCTCCTCCTCTTCATCTGCCCCTCTCTTTTCTTCCCTTTCTTTCCCCAATCCGCCAATCTCCTTCGAGCGCTCTCCTCCCTCTTCCAATCCGAAGGCGCCACGTGTCCCGCCTCTGTCACGGGCCTGGCGCACGTGTATCAGCTGAATCCGCGCTTCGGCGCGCATTTTGAGGGTGAGGCGGAATTCGCGCAGTGGGAATCGCGGTGCGGGGGAGGCGGGAGAGACGGAGGAGGGGGAAGGAGAGGGGGAAGGGGAGGGGGAGACGTCGGGGGAAGTGGGGAAGAAGGGAACGATGGTGTTTCTAACGAAGAGTCTCTTATGGGAGGGGGGGAGTATAGCCTGAGTGACTATAGCGCAGGTGCCTCAAGAGGAGGTGATGACGTGGCAGGCAGAAGGGAGCGACGTACATGGGAAAGAATGTGGAAAGGGAGGGCGGGAAGCGGGAGCAGAGGGGGGGAGATGGGGGAGGCGGGGTTGGGGGAGGGGAATGGGAGGGAGAGGGGATGGAGGGAAGGGGGGGACTGGGGGGAGGGGAAGGAGTGGAGGGAGGAGGCCGGGTTGAGAAGGCTGAGGCGATTGCTGCAGAGAGATGAGGAGAGAGTTCAGGTGAGAGTTCAGGTGAAAGTTCAGGTGAGAGTTCAGGTGAGAGTTCAGGTGAGAGTTCAGGTGAAATTTCAGGTGATGGCTCAGATGAAAGGTCAGGTGAGAGTTCAGGTGACGGTTCAGGTGAGAGTTCAGGTGAGGGCTCAGGTGAGAGTTCAGGTGAGAATTCAGGTGAGGGCTCAGGTGAGAGTTCAGGCGAGAGTTCAGGTGAGAGTTTGGGTAAGAAGTCTCTCCATCTGTTACAGTTTTTTTTCTCTCTCAAATGCCACCTTCCTTCGTCTGCCCTCTCTTGCTCGTTCTCTCTCCCCCTTGCCTATCTCATCTCTCCCCCCCACCCTTATCAGGTGCGCAGCAGGCAGCACAGTGCAGCAGTGGCGACAGCAGCAGGTGCCACAGTGCCAGGTGGCGGGCTGCGATTGGTCAAGGGGTCGTCGGCGGCAGTGACTCGCATTCATGGGCGCATCTTCCCCGAGGGGTGAGAGGGAGGGGGTGAGAGATGTGGGGGTATGGGTGTGGGGGATGGGTGTGGGGGGAGGGTGTGGGGGATGGGTGTGGGGGATGGGTGTGGGGGATGGGTGTGGGGGATGGGTGTGGGGCCTGGGGGTATGGGTGTGGGGCCTGGGGGGATGGGTGTGGGGCCTGGGGGGATGTATACATCAATGAAGTATGGCGGGTCGGCGGCAGTGACTCGCATTCATGGCGTATCTTCCTGGAAGGGTGAGAGGGAGAAAGGAGGGATGGGTGGGGATGGGTGGGGATGGGTGGATATGGGTGTCCTGGGCAGCCACGGGAAGACAAGCCAGTCTCTCCTATTTCCCCTTTCTTTCCTCATGTCTCCTCCTCTCCTCGCACCTATTTCCTCCACATACACACGCCCAGCCATCTGTGCCCTGGATGGCTTGTCACTTTCCCATCCTGTCTCCGCAAACCACTCCCACCTCTTCTATCCCTCCCCTCTCCACAGTCCCTGCCCCTATCCGCCCCCTATCCCTCCCCTATTCCGCCCCCATCCCTTTCCTATCGCCCCCCCACCAGGCTATACTACGTAGCAGTGGGACTTGGCACGCCCCCCCACACCTATTCCCTCGACATAGTCACGGGCAGTCACATGCTGCTCCAGACATGCCAGTATACCTATTTTCCCTTTCTCCTCGTCTCTCCCCTTACCCCAGGCTCTACTACATAGCAGTGGGTCTCGGCACCCCCCCCCGCACCTACTTTCTCGACATAGACACGGGAAGCCATGTCTCCTGGGTGGCGTGCGATGCTCCCTGCGTGAACTGCGCTCAGGTGGGACTCTGTTGCGCTCAGGTGGGACTCTGTTGCGCTCAGGTGGGACTCTGTTGCGCTCAGGTGGGACTCTGTTGCGCTCAGGTGGGACTCTGTTGCGCTCAGCATACTCTCTTCTCTTCTCCCTGTTCCACTTCTCTGCTCTCATTTCCTTACCCCCCTCCCTCCCTTTCCCCCAGGGCCCCAACCCATGGTATGATCCCTCCCACACCTCTCTCGTAGACTGCCACTCACGCAGGGAACGCCATTCCTCCCCTCTCCTCTCATTTCCTCTTGCTCACGTTGCTCTCCTTGCGTTCCCCCACCCCTCAGGGCCCCAACCCATGGTGCGATCCCTCCCATGCCTCTTTCGTAGACTGCCTCTCCCTGCTGGTCCCTTACCTTACTTTTATCCCTGCGTCTGCAACACCTGTTTTCTCCTTTGCTAAACTTTCTCCTCCACTGCTGCTCGCTGGACCATGTCTAACAGTCTCGTAGACTGCCTCTCCCTGCTGATCCCTTACTTTTATTCCCATCCCACTTCTGTACTCTCACGCCCACCCACCTCTTCCCCCTCCCACCTCGCACTCCCCCCTGGGCCCCAACCCATGGTACAATCCCTCCCACGCGCCTCTCGTGCTCTGCCTGCTCTTTACCCCTCCCTTGCAGCCCTAATTAATCCTACATGCTTTGAGTCGACTCAAAACACGGCTATTTTGTGCTCCCGTTTCCCCCCCACTCCCCCCAGGGCGCCCAACCCATCGTACGATCCCTCCCATGCCTCTCTCATGCTCTGCCTGCTCTTTACCCCTCCCTTGCAGCCCTGCTCATTCCTATGCTGCTCTTTTGTGCTCCCATTCCCCCCCCCCTCTCCCCCCAGGGCCCCAACCCATGGTACAACCCCTCCCATGCCTCTCTGGTGGACTGCCGTTCCGACCTCTGCCAAGCCGCACAGACAGGCTTCATCCGAGGCTGCTCCTCAGGCTCGGAAGGTGTCGAAGCTGAGGAAGTGGTCCAGGGGGGCATGGGGATGAAGGAAGGGGAGGGGGTTCACACCAAGCCACGGCATTTACAAGAGGCGTCCAGAGGGGTTATGAACGGTACCAGCAGCGTTGCAGCAGGTGCTGCTAGTGCTGCTGGTGGTGCTGGTGACAGCAACCGGAGTGACAATAACGAGGGTGACAGCAGCAGCAGCGGCCAGTGTGACTATGACATAGTGTACGCCGACGGAAGCAGCTCCCAGGGTGTGCTTGTAACGGATAGGTTACTGTTCCTGCACCCCTCGGGCACACTCAAGGCCGCGCAATTCACATTCGGGTGAGATTACATCAAATAGTTATAAGCATCATATGATTCTGTTATATTTTGTCACTTTTCTGGTTGTACGACCAGGAAGGAGCTTTTGCTCTCAACCTCCTTTCCAATTACAAGCAGCCATTTCCCATTCCGCCTTGCTCCACTCGTCCCATTCCGCCTTGCTCCACTCGTCCCATTCCGCCTTGCTCCACTCGTCCCATTCCGCCTTGCTCCACTCGTCCCATTCCGCCTTGCTCCACTCGTCCCATTCCGCCTTGCTCCACTCGTCCCATTCCGCCTTGCTCCACTCGTCCCATTCCGCCTTGCTCCACTCGTCCCATTCCGCCTTGCTCCACTCGTCCCATTCCGCCTTGCTCCACTCGTCCCATTCCGCCCTGCTCCACCCGTCCCATTCCGCCCTGCTCCACCCATCCCATTCTGCCCCCACAACCAGCTGTGCATCCGACCAGGAGGGAGATCTCACCATCTCCCTTCCACTACCTGCAACATGTTTGAAGAAGTGTTTTGAGACGTCTCAAGACACGTCTCCCTTCCACTACCTGCAACATGTTTGAAGAAGTGTTTTGAGACGTCTCAAGACACGTCTCCCTTCCACTACCTGCAACATGTTTGAAGAAGTGTTTTGAGACGTCTCAAGACACGTCTCCCTTCCACTACCTGCAACATTCACTTCCCTCCTACCTCGTCCCCTTTCCCCATTGCCCCTGCCCTGCCTCCCCCCCAAAACCAGCTGTGTCTACGACCAGGAGGGGGATCTCGACGTCTCCCCTGCACCCACACCTCATCACTTTCCCCTTTTCCTGCGCTTGTCCCCCCTTTCCCTTGTCCCCCCTTTCCCGTGTCCCCCCTTTCCCTTGTCCCCCCTTTCCCGTGTCCCCCCTTTCCCTTGTCCCCCCTTTCCCTTGTCCCCCCTTTCCCTTGTCCCCCCTTTCCCTTGTCCCCCCTTTCCCTTGTCCCCCCTTTCCCACCCTTCCCCCCATCCCCACACCCCACAACCAGCTGTGCATACGACCAGGAGGGGGATCTCGCCATCTCCCCTGCTCGCTCCGATGGGGTGCTGGGACTCGGCCCATCCAACCTCTCGCTCCCTGCCCAGGTACCGCCTCTCTCGTTCTCCCACTAGGGTTGAGGTTCAATGCGGGTCAATGCAGGTCAATGCAGGTCAATGCGGGTCAATGCAGGTCAATGCAGGTCAATGCAGGTCAATGCGGGTCAATGCAGGTCAATGCAGGTCAATGCAGGTCAATGCAGGTCAATGCGGGTCAATGCGGGTCAGTGCAAGTTGCTCCGATGGGGTGCTGGGTCTCGGCCCTTCCCACCTCTCGCTCCCTGCCCAGGTGCCCCCTTCTTGCCACTGAGGGCCCCCCTACCGCGGTCAATGCGGTCAATGCAGTCAACGCGCTCAATGCGGTCAATGCGGTCAATGCAGTCAACTCGGTCAATGCGGTCAATGCGGTCAATGCGGTCAATGCAGTCAATGCGGTCAATGCGGTCAATGCGGTCAATGCGGTCAATGCGGTCAATGCGGTCAATGCGGTCAATGCAGTCAATGCGGTCAATGCGGTCAATGCAGTCAATGCGGTCAATGCGGTCAATGCAGATCAACTCTAATCAGGTCTACCAGTGTTTGGTGCTGTTTGCTCCTTTTCCCCTCCCCATATTCTCTCCCTCCTTTCCTCCTCCCCTCGTCCCCTTTCCTGCCCCTCCCTCCCCCCTCCCCTCACGGCGTCGGCTACCACCCCCACACCCACTCCACTCTCCTCTCGCCTCACCACACCCACCAGCTGTCCAGAGCAGGGGTGGGGCGAAACGTGTCTTGCCACTGTCTCGATTCGGTAGCATCTGCATCCCTCCCATACCCACCACCCTTCTTCTCACTCAATTCCTCGCTTCCCCCTACCTACCCTCCCCTCGCACCACACCCACCAGCTGTCCAGAGCAGGGGCGGGGCGAAACGTGTTTGGCCACTGTCTCGATTCGGCAGTATCTGGGGGAGGTTACTTCTTCATAGGGGAAGCGCTTTTACCCAGCACCCTCACCTGGACCCCCCGTGCTGCCACCAGCGACACGTGAGTGAGTGAGGGAGTGAGTGAGGAGAGTTGAATTGAGTGAGGATCTCTCACTTGTACCCTTCGAGCTGCAGCAAGCGACATGTGATTGAGTGAGGGAGTGATTGAGAGAGTTCGTTCGTGAGGGAGTGAGTGAGAGAGTTTGTGAGGGAGTGAGTGAGAGAGTTTGTGAGGGAGTGAATGATGAGCAGATGAGTGATGGAGTGAGTGAGGTAATTCCTTCTTCCTTCTCAACTCATCCCCATCTTTCTTAATTCCCATTCCCTCACACCCATCCCCTCACCCATCCTCACCCATCCTCACCCATCCCCCCAGCCGCTACTACCACGCATCCCTCCTCCGCATCTCCTACGGTTCCAAGAAGCTTCCCATCGACGATCCCAAGGCGCTCCACAATAAGCACGCAGGCTCTGCCTCTGCTTATAACGAGGATGGTGGAGTGGAGAGCGGAGGGGCAATATTTGACTCGGGGTCGTCATTTGCATACCTGCCTGCTGCACCATTTGACGCACTGCTAGAGATGGTGAGTGTTTTGAGGAAATCGTGAGCCTTCTCAAACCGCTCACCATCTCAAATCGTGAGCCTTCTCAAACCTATATCATACTCATATGGATGTTCGACTTGGGGTCGTCGTTTGCGTACCTGCCCGGTCCTACTTTTGAAGCGTTGCTGGAGATGGTGAGTGCAATCCTAGGCAGTTTTTAGTTGACTCAAAAGTCAACTCGTTGCTGGAGATGGTGAGTGCGATTCCAAGCATTGCTGAAGAGAGAAGTGGGTGAAGTGTCACCTGCCTGCCTGCTGGGTGAAGTGTCACCTGCCTGCTGGGTGAAGTTTCACCTGCCTGCTGGGTGAAGTTTCACCTGCCTGCTGGGTGATGTTTCACCTGCCTGCTGGGTGGAGTGGAAAGAGGAGGGGCGATATTCAACTCAGGGTCGTCGTTTGCATACCTGCCTGCTGCTCCCTTAGATGCACTGCTACAGATGGTGACTTTTGAGTCGACTCAAAAGGCATCAGAAAGAAAAGCTGGTGATGTGCGTATATCCACCAACACGTCCTACCTGCCTGCTGCTCCCTTAGATGCACTGCTACAGATGGTGAGCGTTTCTGGGAAATCGTGAGACGTATCAAATCTTGATCATTCTCACGCGGGTGTTCGACTCTGGGTTGTCGTTTGAGGCGCCTCAAAAGTCTAACTCTGGGTTGTCGTTCGACTCTGGGTTGTCGTTTGAGGCGCCTCAAAAGTCTAACTCTGGGTTGTCGTTCGACTCTGGGTTGTCGTTTGAGGCGCCTCAAAAGTCTAACTCTGGGTTGTCGTTTGACTCTGGGTTGTCGTTTGACTCTGGGTTGTCGTTTGACTCTGGGTTGTCGTTTGACTCTGGGTTGTCGTTTGACTCTGGGTTGTCGTTTGACTCTGGGTTGTCGTTTGACTCTGGGTTGTTGTTCGATTCTGGGTTGTCGTTTGACTCTGGGTTGTCGTTCGACTCTGGGTTGTCGTTCGACTCTGGGTTGTCGTTTGACTCTGGGTTGTCGTTCGACTCTGGGTTGTCGTTCGACTCTGGGTTGTCGTTTGACTCTGGGTTGTCGTTTGACTCTGGGTTGTCGTTCGACTCTGGGTTGTCGTTTGAGGCGCCTCAAAAGTCTAACTCTGGGTTGTCGTTCGACTCTGGGTTGTCGTTTGCCTCTGGGTTGTCGTTCGACTCTGGGTTGTCGTTTGCCTACCTGCCTGCTGCTCCCTTAGATGCACTGCTACAGATGGTGAGCGTTTCTGGGAAATCGTGAGACGTATCAAATCTTGATCATTCTCACGCGGGTGTTCGACTCTGGGTTGTCGTTTGAGGCGCCTCAAAAGTCTAACTCTGGGTTGTCGTTCGACTCTGGGTTGTCGTTTGAGGCGCCTCAAAAGTCTAACTCTGGGTTGTCGTTTGACTCTGGGTTGTCGTTTGACTCTGGGTTGTCGTTTGACTCTGGGTTGTCGTTTGACTCTGGGTTGTCGTTCGACTCTGGGTTGTCGTTTGACTCTGGGTTGTCGTTTGACTCTGGGTTGTCGTTTGACTCTGGGTTGTCGTTCGACTCTGGGTTGTCGTTTGACTCTGGGTTGTCGTTCGACTCTGGGTTGTCGTTTGACTCTGGGTTGTCGTTCGACTCTGGGTTGTCGTTCGACTCTGGGTTGTCGTTTGACTCTGGGTTGTCGTTTGACTCTGGGTTGTCGTTCGACTCTGGGTTGTCGTTTGAGGCGCCTCAAAAGTCTAACTCTGGGTTGTCGTTCGACTCTGGGTTGTCGTTTGCCTCTGGGTTGTCGTTCGACTCTGGGTTGTCGTTTGCCTCTGGGTTGTCGTTCGACTCTGGGTTGTCGTTCGACTCTGGGTTGTCGTTTGACTCTGGGTTGTCGTTTGACTCTGGGTTGTCGTTTGACTCTGGGTTGTCGTTCGACTCTGGGTTGTCGTTTGACTCTGGGTTGTCGTTTGACTCTGGGTTGTCGTTCGACTCTGGGTTGTCGTTTGACTCTGGGTTGTCGTTTGACTCTGGGTTGTCGTTTGACTCTGGGTTGTCGTTTGACTCTGGGTTGTCGTTTGACTCTGGGTTGTCGTTCGACTCTGGGTTGTCGTTCGACTCTGGGTTGTCGTTTGACTCTGGGTTGTCGTTCGACTCTGGGTTGTCATTTGACTCTGGGTTGTCGTTCGACTCTGGGTTGTCGTTTGACTCTGGGTTGTCGTTCGACTCTGGGTTGTCGTTCGACTCTGGGTTGTCGTTTGACTCTGGGTTGTCGTTTGACTCTGGGTTGTCGTTCGACTCTGGGTTGTCGTTTGAGGCGCCTCAAAAGTCTAACTCTGGGTTGTCGTTCGACTCTGGGTTGTCGTTCGACTCTGGGTTGTCGTTTGCCTCTGGGTTGTCGTTCGACTCTGGGTTGTCGTTTGCCTCTGGGTTGTCGTTCGACTCTGGGTTGTCGTTCGACTCTGGGTTGTCGTTTGACTCTGGGTTGTCGTTTGACTCTGGGTTGTCGTTCGACTCTGGGTTGTCGTTTGACTCTGGGTTGTCGTTTGACTCTGGGTTGTCGTTCGACTCTGGGTTGTCGTTTGACTCTGGGTTGTCGTTTGACTCTGGGTTGTCGTTTGACTCTGGGTTGTCGTTCGATTCTGGGTTGTCGTTTGACTCTGGGTTGTCGTTCGACTCTGGGTTGTCGTTCGACTCTGGGTTGTCGTTTGACTCTGGGTTGTCGTTCGACTCTGGGTTGTCGTTCGACTCTGGGTTGTCGTTTGACTCTGGGTTGTCGTTTGACTCTGGGTTGTCGTTCGACTCTGGGTTGTCGTTTGAGGCGCCTCAAAAGTCTAACTCTGGGTTGTCGTTCGACTCTGGGTTGTCGTTTGCCTCTGGGTTGTCGTTCGACTCTGGGTTGTCGTTTGCCTACCTGCCTGCCTGCTTCCTTAGATGCACTGCTACAGATGGTGAGTGACGGTACACAGATGCATCAGAAAGAAAAGCTGGTGATGCGATGTGTGTTTGTCCACCAACACATCCTACCTGCCTGCTGCTCCCTTGGATACACTGGCTACAGATGGTGAGTGACGGTATCAGAAAGAAGAGCTGGTGATGTGCGTTTGTGGTGATTTGTGAGTCGACTCAAAAGTCACCTCGAAAAGCTGGTGATGTGTGTTTGTCCACCAACACATCCTACCTGCCTGCTGCTCCGTTTGATTTGAGGTGTTGCTAACAAGGTGAGGGTTTTGGTAGACTTGTGAGATGTCTCTCAAAGCTTGTTCATTTACTTGCTTGCTTCTTATTACAACTAAAATAGATACCTTTAGCGTCGTCTCAAATCTTATATTTTTGTGGTGTGGCAAAAAGTTCGATGGTGAGGGTTTGGAAGGCTGCTTCCAATCTGCCCTGTTCTCGCTTTTTGAGGCGCCTAAAAATTCCTTCCAATCTGCCTTGTGCCCGCCCCTCGCTTGCTGCTCCTCCCAGGTATCAGCCGATGCAGCAGCGGCAGGCATGCAAACCAGACACCACCATCGTGACTGTGCCACCCCACGGCTGGCGAGCAAGGAAAGGGGCTTTAGTCCCTGACTCCAACTCCTTTGTTGCTCTCTTGACCCTCTTGACCCTCTTGACCCTCTTGTCCCCCTCGCGCCCCTCCTCCCAGGTATCAGCCGATGCAGCAGCAGCAGGCATGCAGGCAGACACCACCGTGACTGTGCTACCGCACTGCTGGCGGGCGGGTAAAGGGGCAGCCGAGATCAGGTGCGTGGGATGGGGAGAGTTGGGATAGGCTATTGACTTAGTCAATTCAGGAATAGAGTTGCTCCTTGCAATTTATGTGATGCTGCCACCCCCACGTGACTGTGCTACCACCCCCACGTGACTGTGCTACCACCTCCACGTGACTGTGCAACCCCACTGTTGGGAGGCAGGGATAGGGACTGCCGAGATCAGGTGCGTGCGTGGGATGGAAAGAGTACGGGTAGGCCTTTGAATCAACTCAAAATTCGGCCCATTTTTCGCTGTTTGTATGCTGCACCACCACCACCACTGCTGTGACTACTTTTGAGGCGCCTCAAAACCCATTTTTCGCTGTTTGTATGCTGCACCACCACTGCTGTGCTTAGGGTCGACTCAAAGTCTGTTTGTATGGTGCACCAAATTTTGAGTCGACTCAAAACCTTTTCCCTGTTTGTATGGTGCACCAAGTTTTTAGTCGACTCAAAACTTTTTCGCTGTTTGTATGGTGCACCACCACCACTGCTGTGCTTCCCCGTGCTTCCCCATGCATTCACATGCGTTCACATGCAACACCTCGCAACCCCATGCAACACCTCGCAACCCCATGCAACCAACCCCATGCAACCAACCCCATGCAACCAACCCCATGCAACCAACCCCATGCAACCAACCCCATGCAACCAACCTCATGCAACCAACCAACCCCATGCAACCAACCCCATGCAACCAACCCCATGCAACCAACCCCATGCAACCAACCAACCCCATGCAACCAACCCCATGCAACCAACCTCATGCAACCAACCCCATGCAACCAACCCCATGCAACCAACCCCATGCAACCAACCCCATGCATTCCCCATGCATCCCTCCCCATGCCATCCTCTCAGGTCCACCGTTGATGTGGCATCTCATTTCTCTCCGCTCACTTTCTCGTTTAAGTCACACTCCATCTTCTCCACATCAGCTGATCTCTCCGTTGCTCCTTCAACATATCTCCTCTCACCAGTGAGAATTGGAAAGAAGGGGGTTCGGAGTAAAGCAACACTCACGTGGCAGCTCATTTCTCTCCACTCACCTTCTCCTTTGCCTCACACTCCATCTTCTCCACATCAGCTGATCTCTCCGTTGCTCCTGCCATGTACCTCCTCTCACTGGTGACTTACTCCGACAATCAGTTGGTATGGTGGTGCTTGGTAAGGGGGTGGCTGGCTGAGTGAGAACGCTTTTGAGGCGCCTAAAAAAAAAACGACCTTTTTGAGGCGCCTCAAAAACGACCTCAGTTGGTACGGTGGTGCTTGGTAAGGGGGTGGCTGGCTGAGTGAGAAGATTTTTGAGTCGATTAAAAAATCAACTCACTACACAATCAGTTGGTATGGTGGTGCTTGGTAAGGGGGTGGCTGGGTGAGTGAGAACGCTCATAGCTCTCCACTCACCTTCTCCTTTGACTCACACTCCATCTTCTCCTCGTCAGCAGACCTCTCCGTTGCTCCCGCCGCACACCAGGCTCCTTCCGCCATTTTCTTTTTATGGAGTTTGTTTCGCACTCCATCTGGCCTCTTTTGATGACTCGCACTCCCATCTTCTCCTCGTCAGCAGGCCTCTCCGTTGCTCCCGCCGCACACCAGGCTCCTTCCGCCATTTTCTTTTTATGGAGTTTGTTTCGCACTCCATCTGGCCTCTTTTGATGACTCGCACTCCCATCTTCTCCTCGTCAGCTGGCCTCTCCGTTGCTCCCGCCGCACACCAGGCTCCTTCCGCCATTTTCTTTTTATGGAGTTTGTTTCGCACTCCATCTGGCCTCTTTTGATGACTCGCACTCCCATCTTCTCCTTGTCAGCAGGCCTCTCCGTTGCTCCCGCCTCACACCTTCTCTCGCCGGTGAGAAATGGAATGGGGGACTTTAGGAGTAAGCAGCACTCATGTCACTTCTCACTTCTCTCCGCTCACCTTCTCCTTTAACCCACACTCCATCTTCTCCTTGTCGTCTCATCTTTCCGTTGCTCCTCCCTCGTACCTGCTCTCTCTGGTCAGTTGCTGTCAACGTGTTTGGTAAGGTGGTGGTTCAATGGTGGTGCTTGGTAAGGGGTTGGTTTGGTATGGTGGTGGGTGGGTGAGATACACTCACATGACATCTCACCTCTCTCCACTCACCTTCCCCGTTGACTTGCATTCAATCTTCTCCTCGTCAGCTCATCTCTCCGTTGCTCTTGTAACGTACCTCCTCTCACCGGTGAGAAATGGAAGGGGGGTTTTGGGGGTAAGCAACAGTCATGTCACCTTCTTGGAGCAATTTCTCTGGGAAATTACGATGGGAGACGGAAATTGTGTGTTAAATAATTTTCTCGTCTCTTCCCCTCTCTTCCTCCACCCCTCTCCCCCGTCTTCCCACCCGCTTCACCCCTCACTCAACCCCATCGAGCCACAGAGGCATGGCACAGTTTGCCTTGGCATTCTGGACGGAGATGAGTCAATCGCATTGGGAGGCAATTCCCGAACCATCATCGGAGGTACGGTAATGCAAAGTTAGGGCAGACCACCATCCGAGGTACGGTAATGTGCACCGTCGGAGGTACGGTAACTCATATTGTCTACCGGACCATTACTGGAGGCGCGGCATTTTCTACTGTAGTTTACTCCACACCGTGTAGAGAAATGCAGTCCAGGTTTCAGTCTCTTGCCAAGCTATTTCTGAGGCGAGAAGGTATTTTTGAGTCGACTACAAAATAGTTTCAGTCTCTTGCCAAGCTATTTCTGAGGCGAGAAGGTACGGAATGCATGCGCTGTAAGCTGTTTTCGCTACCTCTTCTGCCCTGGCAACCTTTCTTGTCCATGCGGTCTGCCCTGGCAGCCTCCTCGCCTGCTAGTTCATTGTAACGACTTGCATCCCCGCTTCCTTTGGTTCCCTGTGCTGCAGATATCACGATGCGTGGTTATCTTATGGTGTATGATAATGAGAATGCAAGGATCGGTTGGACCCTGGCGAATTGTTCCTCCAAACCATGAACGCCTTACATCCCCCCTTCCTTGGGTTTCCTGTGCTGCAGATATCACGATGTGGGGTTATCTTCTGGTGTATGATAATGAGAATGCAAGGATCGGTTGGACCCTGGCGAATTGTTCCTCCAAACCATGAACGCCTTACATCCCCCCTTCCTTGGGTTTCCCTGTGCTGCAGATATCACGATGTGGGGTTATCTTCTGGTGTATGATAATGAGAATGCAAGGATCGGTTGGACCCTGGCGAATTGTTCCTCCAAACCATGAACGCCTTACATCCCCCCTTCCTTGGGTTTCCTGTGCTGCAGATATCACGATGTGGGGTTATCTTCTGGTGTATGATAATGAGAATGCAAGGATCGGTTGGACCCTGGCGAATTGTTCCTCCAAACCATGAACGCCTTACATCCCCCCTTCCTTGGGTTTCCTGTGCTGCAGATATCACGATGTGGGGTTATCTTCTGGTGTATGATAATGAGAATGCAAGGATCGGTTGGACCCTGGCGAATTGTTCCTCCAAACCATGAACGCCTTACATCCCCCCTTCCTTGGATTTCCTGTGCTGCAGATATCACGATGCGGGGTTACCTTATGGTGTATGATATTGAGAATGCAAGGATTGGTTGGTCCCTGGCGAATTGTTCCTCCAAACCATGAATGCTACATGGTATGTGGACATGTCTTCTGTATATAACATCATCCCCTGTTTGTGGCTATGCTATGGTTTCCTGGCAATAAAGAAGGGATTAAGAAATCTGGTGTCACAGTGTTTACAATGACCCACTCGGGTAGGAACAACCTTTGGTTCTCATCTCATCTCAGTTTGACAACCTGCTGGAATGGAAGACAGGAGGCAGGCGAATGATGCCACACGTTTTGCGTCGACTCAAAAGTCCCACTCGGGTAGAAACAAACTTTGGTTCTCATCTCAGTTTGACAACCTGCTGGAACGGCCAATCGATTCCGTAGGAGGCAGGCAAATTATATTACCGCCTTTTGCCTCGACAGAGATGTTTACGGCAATGCAGTTGCTTTCCGGGTTGGCGTACCGTATTCCTCCCGGGTTACCTTAATCGATAGGAATACCGTATGTGTTGTAGCCTCGCAGGTACGGTACCGTATGTGTGGGAGGGAATGTACTCGATAGCGACGCCGGCAGGCGCCACCCAGACAAAGCGAAAACCCTAGGTGTGGGGGAACGACCTAGGGATCAGGTCAGGGTCAATCTAGACTCCAGAACCCAGCTTGATACAAGCATCGTGTATAGGATAAAACAAAGGATGCAATTATGCAATATGCAGCAGAGACAAATGGTAGAAGTACTACATTAAAACACCATACCGTAATAGATCCTACCACAGTGCAAGCATACCCACACTACAGTAAACAATCACACACAGAATAAGGCAAGCATAGCAGTCTATAGCTACAGACACAAATAATGCACTACTGAACCTGAACTGTTTAGAATGTAACGAAAAAAGAGAACCAAGCAGGAAATCATGAACCAAATCAAAACCAAATCAAATCTGAACAAGAGCAACTCGGAGAGAATACCAGGCGGCTGCTGCTGCTGCTGGCTCCATGTTACGTCTAGATTCGCTGCATCAGGTGTTAGCAGCCGCTTGCTTGAAGCGCACAGTCAGCGCCTCACACCAAGTGGCAAGCTCTCCCAACCAAGCCGCCACCCAATGTCTGCTGCCGCCATTGGAGGCTGGAAGTTGAACCCCCCCGTGTCTCAGAAGTTGAAGCTTCGTATCACAGCACTTGAAACACCATGTCTCAGAAGGAAGATGGAACCAATCAGAAGGTTGGTAATGCCTGGTCGGTAACACAGGAGCTCAGGAGGACCAGAGACACCTTGTGAGCAGCAGGTGGAGGCATGGCTTGCTCTCTAAGTTAGGAGGTAGGTGTTAGGCAGATGCAAGCTGCAAAAACAGCTGGTGAAGAAGACCCTTTTGGAGCCACTGGGAAGGTGACTGTGGAGTTGACTTTAAAGCCACCTCAATAAGAGCAGCGACCATTCTGAGCCAGTGGTGAGGACTCAGGACATCGGATAGGGGTAGGTGTTAGCTTGACCGCAGCTGTGGTTGGTTGGTTGGCGGGGCAGCTCTTGTGCTGTCCGCGTGTCAGGCTGCGGTTGGTTGGTTGGCGGTGTAAACGAGTTTAACAGCTGCTGCTGCTGTGCTGAATAGCTGCTGCTGCTGGTTGTTGTTGGTTGAAGCTGTGGTGATTCATGGGCGTTAGAAGTTAGCAGAGCAAGCATCATGCCTCCTTGCTGACGGACTGACTGACTAAAGGTGCTCCATTCCCCTCCCTTCCCCTCTCCTCTCCCGTCCACTCCCTTCCCCTCCCTTCCCCTCCCCTCCTCTCTCCTCGCACGCGGCAGTGGACTAAGGCACAGATGGGCTGTGGGAGAATGGGGCGGGGCGGGGAGTGGGGGCAGACGCAGGGAAGAAGGGGGGGGGGGGTAGCATAAGTCTAGTTATGCCTGTAGCAGCAGTGGGATATGGCATGGACGGGCACAGCAAGTCAGACGCACACATACCCCACCCCACCGCATCAGACCGCACAGAAACTCACACGAACACCTTCAAAAGGCCTGGCTGCAGTTCCAGGACACGAAGGCCCTCCTGGTCCACTACTGCTGGCATGTGCTGCAGTGCACAAGCACCACAGATATCCCCACTCATACCACACTCCACTGCACTGGACCACACTAGGCCTCATTGCACCGCACAGAACTCACATGAACACCCTCAAAAGGCCTGGCTGTGGCTCCACCACGTGAAGGCCCTCCTGGTCGACCAATACTGCTCCACCACTACTGGCATGTGCTGCACCCCCCCAAGACTGACACAGGTATCCCCACCCACCCACCCACACCAACCACCACCGCATGGCACCGCACGGTACCAGTCTATGACTCACATGAACACTTGCAGTAGCCCCGGTTGCGGCTCCAGCACGTGCACCCCCTCCTGGTCGATCAAATACCGCTCCACCACTGCTGGCATGTGCTGCACTGCACGGTCGGACACAGATATCCCCACCCACCCATCCACACCACTCACCACCGCATGGCACCGCACTGTACCAGACTATGACTCACATGAACACTCGCAGTAGCCCTGGCTGCGGCTCCAGCACGTGAAGCCCCTCCTGGTCGACCAGATACTGCTCCTCCACTGCTGGCATGTGCTGCAGCGCACAAGCACCA